AAATATAGACAAACCTTTGCTTTGCTGCTGCTGCTGCTGCTGCTGCTATTGCTTTGTTGTGCTGCTGGTCTGTTTCGAGACGCAGAGACAGGGGGATTTTCTAGGGCGTCAGTGAAGGTTTAATTCGTGTAAATGGAGTTTTATTTTATTAAAATATTTGTTTATTTTAAATAAATTAAATTAAAACAAAAAACTAAACAAATTAACAGCTGCTTACATAGAAGAAACATCGGCATACCGGCGGTCCGCACCATCGATAGTGTGCATCTCCGCCCAGCGGCTGCGGTGGTCTTTTGTTGTTTAATTAGTTTAAATTAAAATAAATTAAATTAATTTAATTTAATTTTAATTAAATCAATTTATATTTTTATTCTTTTTTATCGCAGAAGCTCCATAACAATGCATGCTTTGCGCGGCTTCCGCACAGCGGTGGGTCGAGGGGCCGCTGGTCTACGGGGAGGGGGAGGCGGGTGTATTGCAATGAGTTTGTGTGTACAAACAACTCAATTCTTTGATAATTAATTAATTAATTATTAATTAATATTAGTTTGAATAGTTATATTAAAATATATTGGTTTTTTACACAGAGTGCACCTCCTATTGCTGGTCCGCCTGCGGCTAAGCGTAGACGCTATCTCGGGTGTACAGACACCTCAATTACCTTCAGATGTATACACGCTTGAATTGTCTCCAGTGTATAGCAGCTAGTATAGAACCTTTGCCTCTTGAGGGGCCATGTGGGGCCCCACAACCCCGCATGTTGCAGTGGAGTGTATAGACAGCACTTGAGGTGTATATACACCGCATGTAGACAACTAAAGAATAGCTAACAAGAAGCTATATCTCTTTCCTTCTGATTAGCCATACATTTCTCCGCCTCAATCAGATAAATATAAATTTAAACAAAGACAAACAATGCAGTAGACAAACGGAATTAAGCGATGTGGGCTTTGCATGCTGCGGTTGGTTGCAGTGTATATTCCAGAGAGCTGCTGTAGCAGCAGCAGCAGCAGCAGCAGCAGGAGCAGCAGCTGCAGGAGCAGCTATTGCTACAGCTGTTGTTGCAGCTGTTGCTGTAGCAGCTACCCTCAGGAAGCCAAGAGGGTGCAGGCTGTTAACGGGGGGCTGA